GTGCCTCTACGCGCGCGTGTAAACCTCAGGTTGCGTGTATCAGAGAGAGGGGCGTTCCTGAGCTCGTCTGGGTGTGTGCCTGTGTGTGGCCCTGACATTGTGTGTGTTTCAGAGATTGTGCGTCAGTCTTTGGGATTGTCTATGTCTCACTTAAATTACGTGATGGTCTGAGAGTGCGGGAGTGTGAGTGTGTATGACCGAGGCTGTGTGTGACGAGCGTGGGCGAGGGTGAAGGGGGCCGATTACATGTTTGGGCATGTGTCGTGTGGCCCCTGCTCCCGTCCATCCCCCAGGGTCAGGAGGCCAGCTTTGCCCACCATGAGAGTGGTGGGGACCCTGGCTCTCTCCCAGCCGGGGCTAAGCAGACTGCACACCACCACCCACCCCTTTCAGGGCCAGGATGGGTGGGACTGACTCGCCTGCGAGGCTGCCCTCTACAGAGTTCTAAGTGTGCCAGAGAGTGCCTGTCCTGGCATCTCCCCAGGCTCCCAGTTCTAATGGATTCCAATTTCCAGCGTCTCTTTCATTCTCCCTTCTGTCAAAGCTTCCTCTTTGCCCCATTCACCTTTTTCATCACCCACTCTTCATGGGACCTGTAAGGCACATCTCTGCCCCAAGCAGCCTCTAATCCCGTTCCTTCCCTCCCTTCATTCCTTACTCACATGCGCATTTATTCGCTCACCGATACAGCCAGTATTTATTCAGGGCCTGCTGAGGGCCTCCTGTCATTCAGAAGGTGAAGGGCTCTTCTGCCACTGAGCTTTCATTCTAGGGAGAGGGACGGTAGGCCTGGAAAGGCAGAGAGTTCTCTGAAGGACCTAACACTGGTTAGTGTTTTGAGGAGTAGCTGATGGGGAGGTTGGATTGAAATACACAAGAGCGTTTCCCTGTCTGGGAGGGACCTGGGATCTGAGAGCTGAAGGGTCAGTCAGTGAGGCAAGATTCCCAGTGGAGGGAGGCAGGTGCGAAGCCCCCCAGGGTAAGCAGGAGGAGATGGGGCCTGGCCCTGAGGGAGTGAAGGGTTGACCAGATGGGTGCTCAGCAGAGGACAGGAAGAAGACTATTACTTTAGTAAACTGTTCATTGAATTACAACAGGCACTCAGACGAGTGATAGGCATAGGTACTCCTACAGCTCCTGCGTTCTCACCAAGTGAATCTATCTCTGATAACCCTCAGATCTAGATGGGAGGTCATGATTACCCCCAGGGACTGCCCTCAGGAGAAGGGTGGGTAGGGGAGCCATGTAGAAGGGGGACAGACAGAGTGCGAGGGGGCAGTGTCCCATTGCAGACCCAGCTAGGGGCCTGCCAGTGGGCAAGGGGGACTAACTGGGTGTGAAGGGTGGGCTTTTCTGCTTGTGCTCCTTTCTCCCTGGGCTGTGCAGCTGGAGCGAGCTGGGGCTGGGTTTGGGTCAGGGCGACCCTCATTGGCTAACATTCTGTTTTTCTTCTGCTGTCCTCGGTGGTGCAGTTAAGCTTCCTGTTGCCAAGGGATTTTTCTTAAAAGAAAAAAAGAAAGAAAGAAACATACAACATACAACATTATGTATTTGCTTATATGGTAGCTGTCCTCCCTCCTCAGTCGAAATCTCGGTTTTAAAATATATCAGCTCTTGGCCTGAGAGAATTGCCAGGTTTTTCTTCACCCCGTGGGCATCTGAGCTGCAGGATCTCAGGTGCTAGCCCTGTGCTGTCTGGTAGAAACATCATGTGCCACATGCATAAGTTTTTTTTTTTTTTTTTTTTTTTTTTTTGAGACAGAGTTTCGCTCTTGTTACCCAGGCTGGAGTGCAATGGCGCGATCTCAGCTCACCACAACCTCCGCCTCCTGGGTTCAGGCAATTCTCCTGCCTCAGCCTCCTGAGTAGCTGGGATTACAAGCACACGCCACCATGCCCAGCTGATTTTTTGTATTTTTAGTAGAGACGGGGTTTCACCATGTTGACCAGGATGGTCTCGAACTCTCGACCTCGTGATCCACCCGCCTCGGCCTCCCAAAGTGCTGGGATTACAGGCTTGAGCCACCGCGCCCGGCGCCACATGCATAACTTAAACGTTTCCTGTAGCCAAATTAACCTAGTAAGAAGAAATGGAATATAGCAAAGAAATAGAAAAAAAAATTTAACAATGTATTTTACTTATTTATTTATTTATTATTTATTTATTATTTTTTTTTAAGATGGGGTTTCACCATGATGGCCAGGCTGGTCTTGAACTCCTGACCTCAGATGATCCACCCACCTCGGCCTCCCAAAGTACTAGGATTACAGGCGTGAGCCACCATGCCCGGCCAACAATATATTTTATTTTATTTTATTTTATTTTATTTTTTTGAGACAGAGTTTCGCTCTTGTTACCCAGGCTGGAGTGCAATGGCGCAATCTCGGCTCACTGCAACCTCTGCCTCCTGGATTCAAGTGATTCTCCTGCCTCAGCCTCCCTAGTAGCTGAGACTACAGGCTTGTGCCACCACGCCTGGCTAATTTTTTTGTATTTTTAGTAGAGATGGGGTTTTACTGTGTTAGCCAGGATGGTCTCGATCTCATGACCTTGTGATCTGCCTCCTCGGCCTCCCAAAGTGCTGAGATGACAGGCCTGAGCCACTGGGCCCAGCCAGAATTATTTTTTCCTTAACTGTTTGGTAGAATTCATCCAGGGAAACCATCTGGGCTCAAGGCTTTCTTTTGTTAGGTTTTTAGCTATGAATTCAATTCCTGTAAAAGATAAAGGATGATTTCTTGAATGAATTTTGGCAGTTTGGATCTTACAAGGATTAGTTCATTTCATCTAATTTGTGTTATTCATAGTATTCCTTACTATCACTTTAATGTTTCTGAAGTCAGTAGGGAAGTCCCCTCTCTTACTTCTGATACTTATATTTTGTGCCTTTTCTCTTTTTTTCTTGGTCAGGCTGGCTCGAGGTTTTGTTGCGAAAAAAATTTTTCCCCAGAGAACCAGCGTTGGGTGTGATTTTTTTTTTCTCTCTCTATTGTTTTCCTGTTTTCAATTTGATTGATTTTTGCTTATCTTTAGTTTTTTTTTTGTCCTGCCTGCTTTGGGTTTAATTTCTTCCTCTTTCTCTAATTTCTTAAGGGCAAAGCTTATATTCCTGACCTGGGACTTTTCTTCTTACTAATAGAAGCCCTGTGTTAGCCGTGCCCAACAGATGTCATGTGTTCTATTCTCATTTTCATTCAGTTCAAAATGTTTCTAGATTTCCCGAGACTTCCCGTGTGGCCCTCTTGTGCATTCCTTCCACGATCGCTTTCTGTGACTGATTTCGAGTTTAATTCTATGGTGGTTTGGGAGTATACCGTGCATGCTTTCTATTCGTTTAAATTTAAGGTTTGTTTGACAGCACCAAGTGTGGTCTGACTTGCTGATACCAAGGAGATTTCAGGCTGTTCCCAAGGTTGGCGTGTGCTGTGGTCGGGTCCAGCCGCTGGATGGTGCTGTTCAGGTCAGCTGCGTCCTCACCAATTTTCCACCTGCGTTTTCTGTCAGTCACTGAGGACCGTGGAGGGCCCTAAGAACTGTGGGTGTGTCTTTTCCACCCTTTAGTCGTGTCAGCTTTTGCTTCATTCCTCACCTCACTTCTTGTTGTTGCTGTTGTGTTTGTTTCTGAGAGGGTGTCTCACTCTGTCATCCAGGCTGGAGTGCAGTGGCGTGACCTCGGCTCACTGCGACCTTCGCCTCCCAGGTTCAAGCCATTCTCTTGCCTCAGCCTCCTGAGTAGCTGGGATTACAGGCGTGCACCACCACACCTGGCTAATTTGTGTATGTTTAGTGGAGACGGGGTTTCACCATGTTGGCCAGGCTGGTCTTGAACTCCTGACCTCAGGTGATCCACCCGCCCGGCCTCCCAAAGTGCACACCACCTCACCCATTCAGAGAATAAACTTTTTTTTTTTGAAATGGAGTCTTGCTCTGTGGCTCAGGCTGGAGTGCACGATCTTGGCTCACTGCAACCTCTGCCTCCTGGTTCAAGCGATTCTTCTGTCTCAGCCTCCCAAGCAGCTTGGATTACAGGCATGCACCACCATGCCCAGCTAATTTTTGAAAATTTTTCTTTTTCTTTTTTTTTTTTTTTTGAGATGGAGTTTCGCTCTTGTTACCCAGGCTGGAGTGCAATGGCGTGATCTCGGCTCACCGCAACCTCCGCCTCCTGGGTTCAGGCGATTCTCCTGCCTCAGCCTCCTGAGTAGCTGGGATGACAGGCACGTGCCACCATGCCCAGCTAATTTTTTGTATTTTTAGTAGAGACGGGGTTTCATCATGTTGACCAGGATGGTCTCGATCTCTCGACCTCGTGATCCACCCACCTCGGCCTCCCAAAGTGCTGGGATTACAAGCTTGAGCCACCGCGCCCGGCCAATTTTTCTTTTTTTGAGATGAAGTCTTGCTCTGTCACCAGGCTGGAGTGCCGTGACACAATCTTGTCTCACTGAAACCTCTGCTTTCCAGTTTTAAGCGATTCTCTTACCTCAGCCTCCCAAGTAGCTGGGACTACAGGCGTGTGACAGCATACCCAGCTAATTTTTGTATTTTTAGTAGCGATGGGGTTTCACAATGTTGGTCAGGCTGGTCTCGAACTCCTGACCTCGTGATCTGCCCTCCTCGGCCTCCCAAAGTGCTGGGATTACAGGCAAGAGCCACCACGCCCGGCCCAGAGAGAAACTTCTTAGAGGAAACAGACTCTGACACACTCATCTTTATGTCTTTGTGCCAGGCACAGGGCTCTAACCCAAAGTTGCCCTAAATAAACATTGCCTGAGTCAGCTTATGGTGCCAGGGTATGAGGGCAGCTTTGAGGGTGGTGGGGGCTGTGGCCATGCAGGCAGATTCTGCAGGGGTGATTCTTCCCAGGAGGACCCCCATGCCTCTCTCGGCAGCCCCCACCCATTCCCCCGCTCTTTGTCTTGTGTGGTGTGTGGCCTGGGATCGATGTGACTTTGCCTGTCCGGGCCTGCTGTTTGTCCATGTGTCACAATGTGACATGTTGACCCGCTGCAGATCATTCCGTGACCACAGAGCATGCTCCTGAGAACCCTGCACCCCTCGATGGAGTGAATTCCATAAGCCTCTTCCTTACCCACGCTTTGGGGTGTTAACAGCTGAGGCTATTCATCGGTGACCCGTGGGACACGAGTTATTCTGCAGCTCAGCGGCCCTCCTAGCCGTGGTGGGTAGCTCCTCTCTGTTAGTCAGATTCCGAGGCCTCTGCAGCCTGGAGCCTTGAAGGGGGGATTCCATTAGAGTTACTGGGTATTGGAAAGCCCGGGCCTTCACTATATGAATGAGGCTGGGGCTGGGAGTGGATGGGAGACCGCCCTTTGGTCACAGGTGTGCAGCGGACGCCATCAAGGGGAGCCTCTGATACCAGGAGACGGAGCCTGGATGTGGGACCCAGGAGTCTCTTGCTCTGCTCACATCCGACCTGGATTTTTTGCTGATCCTGTTTCAGGAGGGAGGGAGTTTTGGAAATGACAGCTATCAGAAAGGAACCTTCATGTTTCTGAGTGGGGAGCCGGGAGCCGGGAGCTGGGAGGGGCTTCCCTCTGCTTCCTAGAATTCCACTCTGAACCATTAGTCATTCTTTGCAGCGAAGCAGGTGTTTGTCCGGGCGGCACAAATCTGCCTTAAGGTAACTGAGGTGACTGGATGGACACCACCAGTCTTCTGAGAAGGGCTGACCTGAGGACACTGGGACCTGGGTGCAGGAGGGACAGAGGCTGGGGAAGGGGATAGGGTGCAGGGGGGTGGTGGGGAGGTCAGTGCATGTTCCAGCTTTGATGGGTTCAGCCCTTATCGGGAGACTCAGGTGAATGTCAGCTGCCGCTGGTTTCAGCCAGTGTTAGTTGCTTAATCGTTCAGTGCCTCAGTTTCCCTCCTGCATCGTGGCTCCCACAAAAGGTGAAAAAAGCAGATTTCTTGCTCTCTTTCCAGTCTCTTTGGGTTTCAAGACCCGGAAGCACTCACTTTTATCCTTGTCCGTTTTTCATGGGGCTTTCTGTCGAGTAGGGTGGGTCTTGCTCAGGCTGGCTCTGCTCCTCACTGTCTGGGCTCCGGAGGCTTTGCTCTCTAATCTGGAAAGTAGGCTAACAACAGGGCTTTACTTTTAGGGTGGTCAAGAGGATGGCCAGAGATAAGGTCTCTGCTCACTGCCGGATCCTGTGTTTTGAGACAGAGTTTCACTCTTGTTGCCCAGGCTGCAGTGCAATGGCATGATCTCGGCTCCTGCAACCTCTGCCTCCTGGGTTCAAGCGATTCTCCTGCCTCAGCCTCCTGAGTAGCTGAGACTACAGGCACCTGCCACCATGCTTGGCTAATTTTTTTTTTTTTTTTTACTAAAGATAGGGTTTCTCCATGTTGGTCAGGTTGGTCTCGAACTCCTGACCTCAGGTGATCCACCTGCCTTGGCCTCCCAAAGTGCTGGGATTACAAGCGTGACCCACCACACCCGGCCTCACGTCCTGTGTTTTTTTTTTTTTTCTTTTGGAGACGGAGTTTCACTCTTGTTACCCAGGCTGGAGTGCAATGGCGTGATCTCGGCTCACCGCAACCTCCGCCTCCTGGGTTCAAGCAATTCTCCTGCCTCAGCCTCCTGAGTAACTGGGATTACAGGCAAGCGCCACCATGCCCAGCTAATTTTTTTGTATTTTTAGTAGAGACGGGGTTTCACCATGTTGACCAGGATGGTCTCGATCTCTTGACCTCGTGATCCACCCGCCTTGGCCTCCCAAAGTGCTGGCATTACAGGCTTGAGCCACTGCGCCCGGCCACGTCCTGTGTTTTCTTAGCCCCCCCCTAGAGTGAGGTCCTCCTTAGTGGAGCTCAGCATTTGGTGACTAACATCGAGTTGAATTCCTTATGGGAGGCAGCAGCCCCAGGGCCCAGTGGGGAAGTTGTGATCATTTACACTCAGGAAAATGCACCTCTCTTAGGTGTAGAGTCAGAGAGGTGCCAGTGATATGGGAAGTTTTTCCTGGCTCTGGAAAATGCCCTTGTGCCCCTTCCCCCTGGCTCAGTGTCCTCCAGGCCTTTCCGGCTTTCCCCTTCCCCCAGCCAAGTGGGACTCTGCTCTGTGACTCACACTCTGCCCTTTCTCCTCTTTGGCTTGACTCACAGCAAGCTGGTCTGTAGGTAAGGGTCCAGGGGGAGGGCTCTGGGGGAAGTCCAAAGGCAGGAGGCAACTGAGGTCCTTTGCTGTGTCCTGGGGAGCCACCAGCAAAGCCAGGGTTGGGAAAGGAGTGGATTAGGTGACTGTGTAAGAGGCAGAATGACATATGGGACACGGGAGCATTGGTAATGGGAATGAGACAAAGTGGGGTTGGGTGAGGTCAGGTTTTGGCTGGGGGCTGAATGGGGAATGGGGACGGGGGAGCGATGGGTGCAGACTGGCCGCTGGCCCACTCCAAAGGTCTGCTGTGCGCATGCAGGTAACTGACCCTCAGTGCACTTCAAAGTGCCAGCCATGACCAAAGCCAGGACCCTTCCCTGAGCCAGCTTTCCACCCTCCCCACACCGGCCTGTCAGGGGACAGACCTCGGGTTAAGCCCCAGGTTCTAGAAGCTTTGGGGCTGTACCACAGGCCTCCCCTCCCCTCCCCTCTCTCCCCTCCCCTCCTCTCCCTCCCCTCCCTGCCCCTCCCTTCTCTCTGGGATTGGGCAGCCTGCTGTGAGCCTGGCCAAGTTGTCCTTGTTGGCTGCAGGCGCTGGGCAGGCACTACGCGGTGCCCAGGGGCCGTGGCTGCAGCTAGGCGAGTGATGCTTTTTTTTTCTTTTCTTTTTTTTTTTTTTGAGACAGAGTTTCACTCTTGTTGCCCAGGCTGGAATGTAAAGCCGCAATCTTGGCTCACCAGAAACCTCCGCCTCCTGGGTTCAAGCGATTCTCCTACCTCAGCCTCCCGAGTAGCTGGGATTACAGGCATGCACCACCATGCCTGGCTAATTTTGTAGTTTTAGTAGAGACGGGGTTTCTCTCCATGTTGGTCAGGCTGGTCTCGAACTCCCGACCTCAGGTGATCATCCCCTGCCCCTGCCCCTCCCCGAACCGTCTCGGCCTGCCAAAGTGCTGGGATTACAGGCATGAAGCACCGCCCCCGGCCTGCGGAATGGCTTTTCTTAGTTATTTGCTTACTGATGCCCACGCCTGCTGCCGCGGCCGCTCTCCCATTCAGCATTTCGGCCACAGATTTCAGTAGCAGTGCTCCTTTGGTCCTACAGTCGGCTCATTCATCCCTCAGGAGGTGCCTGCATTGCAGCATTTTGTTTGTTTGTTTGTTTTGCGACAAAGTGTTGCTCTGTCGCCCAGTGGCGTGCAGTGGTGTGATCTCAGCTCACCGCAACCTCTGTCTCCCCGGGTCAAGTGATTCTCCTGCCTCAGTCTCCTGAGTAGCTGAGATCACAGGTGCCCGCCACCACACCTGGCTAATTTTTGTGTTTTTAGTAGAGACAGGGTTTCGCTATGTTGGCCAGGCTGGTCTCGAACTCCTGACCTCAGGTGATCCACCCACCTTGGCCTCCTAAAGTAGGTTTACAGGTGTGAGCCACTGCACCCGGCCTAGAGTGTTTAATATCTGCTTAGCTCTGCCCTTGGCCCTGTAGTGAGATGAAGTTTCCACTTCAGGCATGCAGGCAGATCAGGTGGGGAGGCCACACGTGGGAATGATGTGAGGCCATAGTGGAAGATGGTTTTACACTGACAGACATCTGAGGTGCTCAGTGACATCCCCTGGTCACACCCTGCAGGCGGCCTGGTAGCAGGCAGAGTTATGTCAGGAGGCTGGCATTTGGGGAAGCAAGGATTGGTGTGGAAGCTGGGCTCACCCCCTGCCCGGGATGGCTGACCCTGGGCAGAAGACCATCTCCGCCCCACCCCTTCCCCAGAACGTGGGAGATCAAAGCGCTCTTTGAAGGAATTTACTGAGGCAGTGACCCGAGATGGCGCCTCTGCACTCCACCCTGGGGACAGAGAGAGACTTTGTCCCCCCCCCACAAAAAAAGTAGGTGGTGCCCTGCTGGGTGTGGGCGAGCAGAGGCAGACCATTATTGTTTTAATTTGCTTTTACCTGATTCCTAGTGAGGTTGAGCATTTCTTTACCTTTATTTCAGCTGCTTGGGTTTTCTCTGGGGCCCCTGAGAACCCGCATCCCGGAGGGTCTCGGTCACACCAGGGTTGGTGTCACTTCCCTTCGGGGTGCCGGGCACCCATCTTCAGAGGTGCTGATTTCCTCATCCAGCGTCCAGGCCGACTTCTGCGGTCGCCCTCCTGACAGGGCGTGACACAGCTGATTAGGTCTCAGCTCTTGACTTTTTCTGAGACTGCACTGTAGTAACCTTTGTTGGACTTGGACGTTCCCAGGCCTCCTGGTGTGTTCCCAGAGGGTAACTTTGTCTCAACTCCTGGGGGCCCACAGGCCCTGTTGTGTCTGGGCGGTGCTGACACTGGCCCTGTCCCTGCAGGCAGACTTCTGCGTTATGACCTGGCTGCTGGGCTACGTGGACCCCCTGGACTCCAGCTTTGTGGCTGCCGTACTCACCATCGCCTTCAATCCGCTCTACTGGAATGTGGTAAGTGCTATTGTGCCTGACACTGTCTAGATGGGAGTATCACTGCTGGTCGAGCGCCACGCAGGGGATCGTGGCTGCCGCTGCTGGCTGGCCAGACAGACAGCCAGCTCTGCCCTTCCCTCCCGTGTCTGTCGCTGGCTGGTGTGGAGTACTGGGTGCTTCCTGCCCTCTCGCCTTGGGGGTCCAGCAACCATTGGGCTGCCCAGGTTGGTGTCAAGATGGTCCAGGACTGCAGGGGTGGCCCTCCCAGTGTCACAAGAGCCTGCAGGAGAACGCTGCCCCACTGTGGGGCTGACATTGGTCAAACGTGCCCAGCAATCTGGTGGCCTGTGCCCAGCAATCTGGTGGCCTTCTCATTCATGAAGTGGCCTTCTCATTCAGGAATTAGGCTGCCCAGGAAGTGGGGGCTCCCTTCCCTCTCTGCCATGTCACACAGTAAAGCCATCTGCTTGTGAATCCCCCACCCCTCGTGTGTTCCATAAACATGATTATTTTTCCCACATGAGACTTCCTGCAAAACGGCCTGCACACCTCAGACCCAGGCGAGCTGGGTAGCAGGAACAAGCCGACGTGAGTTGAAAACAAGCAGCTAGCGTGGTACCAGCGCGTGACGGGTGCCAGGGGATGTCTGGGTGCCCGAGCACTAGCACCAAGGGGTGGGTGGACCGCATGGGAAGTGGGCTCTGGGCCCTTTGAGGAAAGTGTGGGAGGAGAGGGTCGTCAGCTCTTTCTGCAGCCTTTCTGAGATGCTCCCCGCACCCCCCAGGCTGTGGGGTAAAGCTCTTGGAGTTTCTGGTCTGTTCTCCCAAGGCTGTCTCTGGGGTGCTTCTGGGGCTGCTTCCCGTGGATCCTGCTGGGGGCGCTGGTGGTCCCAGGCTCCGCAGGGCGGGCTGGGCTTGTTGATGCAGAGCCCTGAGTGCTCTGTGCACCCTGAGGCTAATCTGCAGAGTAAGGCGAGATCAGCGTCAGCAGCACATTGCTCCAGGCAGCTTTCATTTAAGGTGACCCCTTGATCCCAGGGCAGAACAGGACGTGTTTTTCTTTTCTTTTTTTTTTTTTTTTTTGAGGCAGAGTTTCGCTCTTGTTACCCAGGCTGGAGTGCAACGGTGCAATCTCGGCTCACTGCAACCTCCGCCTCCTGGGTTCAGGCAATTCTCCTGCCTCAGCCTCCTGAGTAGCTGGGATTACAGGCACGCGCCACCATGCCCAGCTAATTTTTTGTATTTTTAGTAGAGACGGGGTTTCACTATGTTGACCAGGATGGTCTCGATTTCTCGACCTCGTGATCCACCCGCCTCGGCCTCCCAAAGTGCTAGGATTACAGGCTTGAGCCACCGCGCCCGGCTAGGACGTGTTTTTCATTTAGTTTATGACTTGAGATTTTTCTCCATCTGGCGAGAGAAGCGGGCGGGGGCCGGCCTGCTCATGTCAAAGACAGAGCATTCCAAAGAATACACGCTGGACATGTTTCGGAATGGATGCGCTGCCGGCCCACAGAGGAGGGGCTTCGAGGGGAGGAGCAGAGTGGGACTGAGACTGGCCAGCTTGGTGTAGCCAAACACGGGCCTCCCGGACACCCCTTCCTCCTGAGAAGCCTCGGCCGGGCTGGGGAGCACCTGCACTCAGCCACACTGTCCCCCGCTGGCCCCACCTCCTGACATGGGCCCCTGTAACCAGGGCTGCAGCTGCCGTGCTCGGCCTCTGGGTCGCTCCCTGCCACTGCCTGGCCTGCGGACACCCAGGCGTATCCAGCATGCCATAGATAGGAGGTGGCGAAGGGTGAAGAGGGTGCGTGGAGGCTGACAAACGGCCCTGTAAAGACGTTCACACCCCGTGAGCTTCTCTTTCTTTTTCTTTTTGAGATTGAGTCTGGCTCTGTTGCCCAGGCTGGAGTGCAGTGGCAGGGCCTTGGCCCACTGCAACCTCCACCTCCCAGGTTCAAGTAATCCTCCTGCCTCAGCCTCCCTAGTAGCTGGGAATACAGGCACGCACCACCATGCCCAGCTAATTTTGCTATTTTTAGTAGAGATGGGGTTTTGCCATGTTGGCCAGGCTGGTCTCGAATTCCTGACCTCAGGTGATCGGCCCACCTTGGCTTCCCAAAGTGTTGGGATGACAGGCGTGAGCCACTGCGGCCGGCCTGAAGTCTCTTATATGGCGCATACACAAGGCTCTTTGCAAATGTGATGAAGTCAAGGAGCTTGAGCTGGGGAGATGGTCCTGAGTTATCCAGGTGGGCCCTAAATGCCATTGTGCACATCCTATTAACGATGGGGCGGCACAGGGACGTTGACACACAGGAGTGTCTCTTATGACCATGGAGGCAGAGGCTGGAGTGACTAAGACACAAGCCCAGGAAGGCCAGGCCCACCAGAAGCTGGAAGAAGCAAAAAACGGAGTTTCCCCCAAAAGGCTCTGGTGGAAGCACAACCTGGCTGACACCTCGATTTGGCCCGGTGGTAGCTGATTGGGGATTTCTGTTGTTTTCAGCCCCTAAGTTGGTGGTCATTTGTTAAAGCAGCTGCAGGAAGCGAGGCCAGAGCATTTAAAAAGCAGAAAGACCAGGTGTGGTAATCCCAGTACTTTGGGAGGCCGAGGTGGGGGTCGGGGGGGTGGGGATCATGAGGTCAGGAGTTCGAGACCAGCCTGACCAACATGGTGAACCCTGTCTCTACTAAAAATACAAAAATCAGCTGGGCATGTTGGTGCAGCTTGTAATCCTAGCTACTCGGGAGGCTGAGGCAGGAGAATCACTTGAACCAGGGAGGCAGAGGTTGCAGTGAGCTGAGATTGAGCCACTGCACTCCAGCCTGGACAACAGAGCAAGACTCCATATTAAAAAAAAAAAAAAAAAGCCGACGATCCCTGTTGGAAGACGTTGTGGGCCTAACCCTTGGGGTATTGGGTGTGCCACGCTCTTTCCTGTCCATAGGCCTTCTCCAGGGAAGACGCTGGGCTCTCACAGCTGGAGGGGGTCCCTGCCCTCTGGCTTGCAGGCCTGGCCTTGTCCAGCAATCGGTGAGGTGCACTTGGGCCTCCCAGCACTGGGGGGTTGGCTGGCTGAATGCATAGCGGGTCCTGAGGACACTTTTGTCTATGCACATGCCCCCTCGGGTCACTTCCTGCTGGCCCAGCCAGCTGTGTGTTTTTGTGCAGTTCAGTGTGAAGGTATATCGGTGGCTCATGAATGGCAGAGTGGTTAACATGCAGTAAGATTTGGCCGGGCGCAGTGGCTCACACCTCTAATCTCAGAGGCGGGCAGATCACCTGAGGTTCAGAGTTCGAGACCAGCCTGGCCAACATGGTGAAACTCTGTCTCTTCTAAAAATAGAAAAATTTAGTCAGGTGTGGTGTCACATGCCTGTAATCCCAGCTACTTGGGAGGCTGAGGCAGGAGAATCACTTGAACCCAGGAGGCAGAGGTTGCAGTGAGCTAAGATCACGCCACTGCACTCCGCCTGGGCAACAAGAGCAAAACTCCGTCTCAAAAAATAAGACAGAGAGAGAAAAAAGAAGCAGTAAGATTTGGAAGACAGACAGCATGTGTCTGTGTTTCTTTTTGTTTTTGTTTTTGTTTTTTTTTTTTTGGTCATAAGCTTTTGATTAGTCTCATCTTGAGAAAGTTTTTCACTGGAACAGTTTGTGGCCATGAGTGGGAGAGAGATCGAGCTCTTCAAAGTGGTTTCAAAAGGAGAAAAGTTCCGGGAACATGTTGCCGTTCAGTGGGCTGTGGCAGGGGCACATATCTGGGAGCATCCGGAGGGGGGTGGCAAGGCCCAGCTCCACGCTGCCGGAAGCCCGAGAGGCAGATCAGTTGAGCCCAGGAGTTCGAGACCATTCTGGGCAACATGACAAAACCCCACCTCTACAAAAAGTTCAGAAATTAGCCATGTGTGGTGGTATACACCTGTTGTCCCAGCTACTGGGTCCGTTGGCTGAGGTAGGAGAATTGCTTGAACCTGGGAGGCAGATGTGGTGGTGAGCGGAGATCGTGCCTCTGCACTCTAGCCTGGGCGACAGAGTGAGACCCTGTCTCAAAAATCAAAACCAAAAATAAGCCAACAGGCCACAACCAAGGAAGCCGTTAAATAACTTAATAGTTCTCAGTCCCTGGGTATCCACGGGGATCGGTTCCAAGACCCCATGGATACCAAGGACGGCGGCTGCTCAGGTCCCTGACGGAAAATGACGTTGTATTTGAGTGTAACTGATGCCCACCCTCACATACACTCTACGTCATCCCTAGATTACTTATGATACCTACTACAGTGTAGTGCCAGGTAGCTACACTGTTTTATTTCTTTTTTTTGAGACAGAGTCTTGCTTTGTAGCCCAGGGTGGAGTGCGGTGGTGTGATCTGAGCTCACTGCCACCTCTGCCTTCCGGGTTCAAGCAATTCTCTGCCTCAGCCTCCCCAGTAGCTGGGATTATAGGTGCCCACCACCATGCCTGGCTAATTTTTGTATTTTTAGTAGAAACAGAGTTCACCGTCTTGGCCAGGCTGGTCTTGAACTCCTGACCTCATAATCCACCACCTTGGCTTCCCAAAGTGCTGGGATTAAAGGCGTGAACCACTGCGCCTGGCTCCTGAATGTAAATATATTTTTTGAGATGGAGTTTCGCTCTTGTTGCCCAGGCTGGAGTGCAATGGTGCAATCTCGGCTCACTGCAACCTCTGCTTCCTGGGTTCAAGTGATTCTCCTGCCTCAGCCTCCCGAGCAGCTAGGATTATAGGCATGTGCCACCATGCCCAGCTAATTTTGTATTTTTAGTAGAGATGGGGTTTCTCCATGTTGGTCAGGCTGGTCTTGAACTTCCAACCTCAGGTGATCCGCCCACCTTGGCCTCCCAAAGTGCTGGGATTACACGTGTGAGCCACCGCACCCGGCTGCTCCTGAATATTTTTATCCACAGTTGCTGTGGAAGGCTGGCTGGCAGTGGCGGGACTTACGCTCAGGTGTTGTGCCCAGTGCATTTCGTGTGGCGTTTCAATGAACCTT